TCTTGCTGTTATCAACCGTGGCAATCTTATCGGCATGGGCTGGTCAAATGCAAGTATGACGGACAAGACTTGGACAACAATCAGATTATCGTATGATTATGGTTGGAAAAAACCCCCTGAAACTTTATTTTCCAGGTTGTCCAAAACGCATTCAGAATCAAGTGCTTGACTGAGGACAATGGATCGTGGAAGACTGAAATTATTGGTTGCGTCACACCAGATGGTACCGAAATTGATGCAGGACAAAAGAAAGAGCATGGAGATAAAATTCATGAATGTGTCAAGTCCGAAAGTGGTCAAGTCTCGTTGAAGGAATCCAAAGGACGTATGGCTGCATGTCCAGGAGGACAGCAGAATGGCTAGTTTGGGGTTGAATGGGAATTTGAAAATATTTATATATCAAAGTCTTTATCGCCCAGATCCTTCTGGATAGTTAGAGTTGCACTGATTCCTGCTTACTGCTTCCTATGATTCCGTTTTTCCAATTTTTGAAATCTCCACCGATTACGCACTCTTGTTGGAATCAGTTGTCCGTTGTGAATGTGAACGACTTGACATAATTCTCTTGAATTTCTTAGAGCCAATCAAAAAATCTAGTTCTATCGGACTGCTAAAAATTGAAAATTCTAGGTGAGGAATGGCAAGAGAAGTCGTTCAAATTCCGTTGTGGAGATGGAGGAGTCGTCAAGTTCATCGCTTGCGTTGGACAAGACGGAAGTGTCATCAATGCTGGAGAGACTGGAAAGATCGGAGGATTCGATGTAAAGTGTGAGCAACACGCCAATGGAACTATCACCATGCAAGCTGCCAATGATCCGAAATCTTATGAATGCAAGGCTAAAGACGGATCCATGAAGAAGAATGGACAGGAATACGTCGAAGGAAATTTTGTGAGAAAGTGTGGAGATTATGGACAGGGCAAAATCATCGGATGCTTTGTGAGTTTGAATATTCAGATTAAAATACAGTCTACCTCTATAGGCTGACAACGTCGGAAGCACCATCGGAGTCAACCAGAACGTGACGTTTGGAGATGTGATCTACAGTTGCGCTAAGGACGGAGCCAACTACAGCTTCAAAACCTACAGCCTCAAGGCAAACTAGTTTTTCATTGTTCTCTGAATGTTCTTTTTAAGTTTGCAATATGAAAATTGAATAAAGTTTTTGTTTGCACTACTCAGTTGGAATGAATTGAATGGGTTGTGTCTGGAAAATAATGGTTCTGCATGAAGAAACTCGAAAACCATAAATAAGTTGCAAATTTCAGCCACCAGCCGTATATGCCATGTGTGCTCACGAGGGGAAACAATACACAAATGAGACTACCTTTGTAAGTTATGAACAACCAACACATGGATTTTCATCTTTTCTTTAGATCTCCCAAGGATCATTCCGAATGAAATGCGTCACTTTCAAAAACTTGACCTCCACTCTTGAAGTTGTTTCTTGCATCACTCCAGCCGGTGTGGAGGTAGGTTTGACCCCGATTCACTTAATTGCATAATTGCTTTGAACAGATTCCGATTGGTGCGAAAATGGAAGAGGGAGATAAGGTATTCGAGTGCACGTCTGGCAATGTAACATTGAAATCGACACCTGGACAAACTGGAAAATGTAGAGGAACTTATAAAGTTGGAGAAGAATGGGTCGAGGATTCATTCAAACTAGCATGTGAGCCATATGGAAAAGTTAGTCTGAAAAGTTGTTTCACGAAGGAAGGAACTGAAATTCCATTGGGAGAAGCTAGAAGAGTTCCAGCTGGATATGCAATGGAATGTGTCATGGTTAATGGAAATGTTGCTCTTCAAACTGCAAAAAAATTTGATTGTGAAACCAACACTGGAGAGATTAAGAAAATTGGTTAGTGCAAATATTGTGACCTACCATCAACCGCCAACGTTGAGTCAGTTCATCTCGTTTTCTGGGAAAGATATTGAAAAGTAGTCAACTAATAAAATGCTCAACATAATATCAGTAACATTTTATCAGCTGACGATCTTTTGATCTTTTAACTGAACCGAGATATATCGGCTCAAAGCTGGCGGTTACGGTGGCCCTCTACCATGTTCATATCCGTTTCCTATTTTCCAGGAGAAACATGGAATGAGGGAAACTTCATTCGTCGGTGTGCCAACTATGGAGTCTCTGAAATCGTTGGGTGCTACGTCGAAAACATCGGATCCGTGGGACTCAATCAGAACTTGACTTCTAATGGTCTTCTCTACATGTGCATCCACCAAAACGATCAGTTCAAATTTAGAACATTGAGAGCTCAATGATATTTCTTTTGTTGCGAATTTCTGTTTTATTTAATAATGCTTGTCAAATATAATGACTTTTCTAATAAACGACGCTTCGAATCGAACCAGGAAACCCAATGATTGTTTTCATGACCATCAAATATTCTGATGATGAATCTCCATTGTTTTTATGACTAAATATTTTGTATTTGTTCCAAAGATGTCTGATAAAGCTTGATATTTGCCGCCTAATCCCTTCTCAAGGGGACCAAAGAAGAACTCAATCATTATTAAAATATTGAGAGGTTTCATCCATTCACCACCCTCAAGTTTTAGTTGTCATTCATTTTCTTTTACAATGATTCTATTACTTTTTCTTTTACCATCGATTGTTTTTGGACAGTTCACAAAATCCATAAAAGTTGGGTTGCTCTTCTCAAAGGATGCTCCTTCAGTAATGAGATCAATAGGATATCGAACTTCAGCTTCGGCGGTTCTAGTAGCTAGAGATCGGATTAGAGCCGAACATTTGTTGGACCAGTATGATTTCAAGTAAATATCTTCAAGCTTATTTCTAAAAGCTATCGAGTATTTCTTTTAGCTTCACTGTAAAGTTTGATGAATGCTCGGAGAGTCTGTCTGCTGGCAAAACTGTAGAACTAATCAATCAAGATGACGTTGATGTGATAATTGGACCAACTTGTAATCGTGCTGGAGTCTCCACGGCTTCTCTTGCTGCCTATTATAATGTTCCAGTCTTTGAATGGGGACTGACTACGACAGCGGACATTGGAAACTTCAGTCGATACCCAACCACAGTGACAGTATCCTTGGATACTCACAGGTGAATCATTAAGGCTCCTTTGAAGATTTTCAATGTTTTTCTGTTTAGTATGGCAGTTGCTGTTCGAGATGTTCTACAGAGATTTGATTGGGAAGAGTTTGTTTTCATTTACTCGAACGACGGAGATGAAGAAAAATGTGCTTCAATGAAAGATGACATGGAGAAGATGTCCGTGGAGAATGTGGATGTCACTTTGGCATATATGTATCAGATTCAAACAGTTACAATGGAATCTTTGAAAAAGGCATTGAAGGAAGTTTCCAAGAGAGGAAGAAGTGGATGCTACTCCAGATAAAAAAAATTATAATTCCAATTTCAGTTGTTGTGACTTGTTTCGCTGGAAGCAAAGGATTCAAGAAAGCGTTTGTCGCTGCTACAGTACTGGCTGGAATGTCCACTGATGAGTACATCTACATATTTGCAGAACCACAGTCCAGAGGATTTTGTGAGTTTGAAAACAATGTCTCTGTAGAATAAATTTTCTTAAAGACGTCGATGAATCGAATGGAGGTGTTCATTACTCTTGGGACGATAGTGATGGAAATTTTGTGACTGGACTCACGAACGAACAAATTCGAGAAGCATATGGAAAGGTTTTGTACATTTGTGATGTAAGTGAATCGGTTGAAAACTGAACTTATGTAGTTATTTTAAAATTTAGAATATGGGAGAGCCACCAATCATCACAGCGCAGTATGCCAATTTCACAACCCAAGTTATCAACAGAATGTCGGAGCAGCCATTCAATTGTGTACAAGATTGTGCTAACGCTACGTATAAAGTTGTGAGTCTTTTTTTTAAGTCAAAGAATCTCTGAAAATCAACTTCAGACTGCTACGTACGCTGGTCAACTATTCGATGCTTTTTACGCCTACGCAGTTGCTTTGAACAAGTCTCTGGCAATGGATCCAACAACGACAAACTTGAAGAATGGATCACTGATTCTGAGTAACATTGCAATGACGTTCCAAGGAGTAGGTGGAAGTTCTGTGTCGCTTGATGAAACTGGCAGTCGGATTGCTCAAGTTTTCATGTTCGCGATGAATTCCTCTCTGTTACCTTATATTGCTGCCGGACTTTTGGTAAATGGTTCTAGAGTGGTATGCATTAATTCATGTTTCCTTTTAAAAATAATTTTTAGAATTACACTCCTTACTACAGTAGCGAATCTGTGCTCTGGAAGGGCGGAGTCAAACCGTTATCCCGACCGATATGTGGATTCACTGGAACCGAATGTCCACCAGATTTTGTGAAAGACTATCTTATTTATACAATCATTGCAGCCTTGATTGTTATTGCTGCTTTATTGGCTGGATGTACGGGGCTTCTTTATACGATTCAGTGAGTTTTGGATGGTATGACATTTAATCTAGGAAGGTTTTCTTCCAGCATGAAAAAGAGAGAAACGGAACGTCAGGATCTTCTCTGGCAAGTTCCGTTCATTGAACTTCAACAAATTCAATCGAAATCGAAAGCTGAAGCGAGCATGCATTCATTTGCAAGTGGACCATCTACATCTACAAAGATCACAATTGAAAGTCGTTCCGAAACTACAAATTTCATTTTCTACTACCACAAACAGGAAATCGTTGCTGCTATGAAACACGATTTGATTCTTCTTTTTGACACAAATGAGAAATCTGAATTCCGACAAATGAGAAACTTTGACAATGACAACCTCAACAAGTTCATTGGACTTTGTCTGGATGGACCACAACTGTTATCACTCTGGAGGTTCTGCTCAAGAGGATCACTTTCTGATGTTATTAGTAAAAGTTCGATGCAAATGGACAGCTTTTTCATGTTCTCTTTGATTCGAGATATTTCTAATGGATTATCTTTTATTCACAACTCATTCCTGAAGTATCATGGTCACTTGACATCACGATGTTGTCTGATTGATGATCGATGGCAAGTCAAGATATCTGGATATGGATTGAAATCAGTTAGGACTTTTGAGAATCCGAAGAAGGAAGATTTGTTGTGGACAGCGCCAGAACATTTGAGAAATGAAAGCGGAGAAAAGACTTCCGAAGGAGATATTTATAGTTTCGGAATCATCTGCTCCGAAATTCTCACGAGATCTTCTGCCTTCGACTTGGAAAACCGAAAAGAAAAACCGGATGTAATCATTTATCAAGTCAAAAAAGGAGGGCACAATCCGATGAGACCGTCTCTGGAAACAAGTGAAACTGTTGAAGTGAATCCTGCATTGCTCCATTTGATCCGTGATTGTTGGACAGAAAGACCATCAGAAAGACCGTCAATTGAACAAGTACGAAGTCATTTAAATGGAATGAGAGATGGAAGAAAATCAAATTTGATGGATCACGTATTCAACATGCTGGAAACTTATGCATCAACTCTTGAGGAGGAAGTTTCAGACAGAACAAAAGAGTTGGTAGAGGAGAAAAAGAAATCAGACGTTCTGTTGTACAGGATGCTTCCAAAGTAAGTTCAATCATTAAGTGAAGTGCACCTAATATTTTGAATTTCAGAATGGTAGCCGACAAGCTGAAAGTTGGTCAAGCTGTGGAACCAGAAACATTTGAGCAAGTTACGATATTCTTTTCGGATGTAGTCCAGTTTACTACGCTAGCTGGAAAGTGTACCCCACTTCAAGTTGTAACCTTGCTTAACGATTTGTATACAATTTTTGATGGAATTATTGAACAAAATGATGTTTATAAAGTGAGAGAACTCATTACCCCAAAATTCTTCAAATTTCTATATCAGGTTGAAACAATTGGTGATGGATACCTTTGCGTGTCCGGACTACCTCATCGGAATGGAAACGAACATATCCGGCATATTGCAAGAATGGCTCTAGGATTCCTATCAAGTCTACAATATTTTCGAGTACAACACTTGCCTGCTGAAAGAATCAATTTAAGAATTGGAATCAATTGTGGTAGGAAGTCTTGAGAAGTTCTTGAATTCAAAATAAGAATATTCTAGGATCCGTCGTGGCTGGTGTTGTAGGTCTCACAATGCCGAGATACTGTCTTTTTGGAGATGCAGTGAACACTGCCAGTCGAATGGAAAGCAATGGAAAACGTAAGATTTTACATTTTCCAGTTCGTGATAAAAAGACTGCAAATTCCAGCTGGACAAATTCATGTAACTGCTGAAGCGAACCGAATGTTGACTCAAGTCGTCGGAGGATTCAAAACAGAATCCCGAGGAGAAGTGATAATAAAAGGAAAAGGAGTGATGGAAACGTTCTGGTTGCTCGGCGAAGATTCCGGAATAAGTGTTTCAACACAGAGGAAAAAGACGCCGCCGGTGAGTTTACTTGTAGAGTTTGAAAATAAGAAAAATATTTTAGGAGCCACCACGACGACAATCTGTTCGGAGCATCTCACCGATAGTTGAGAAAAACGCGGAAGAAGATTCAGCCAAGGGATTGTACTCGGAGTACAAGGATATTAATAATGTGAATGGTTAATGGGATAATGAATTATACTTGGTTTGGTCGCTTGTAATAAATATTTATCATGAAGTGAATTTCGAATGAGCAAGATCAGGTGGTGTTTTATCAAAGAGTCAACTTCTGGGCGGTCTTGTCCCAGAAACTGGGGAAGTTCTGGCCAGAGGATTGTCGACATGCCTATTATCATTAACTGGGCTGTTGGCTTGTAACTTCTGGACAGAAATTTAGAGAGATCCGGTTTTTGGTTGGATATGTATTGGCCAGGTTCTGGCCGGAAGTTGCCCAAAAACGGTTGTATAGCGGACCATGGTCAGATTATTGGCGGAAGTTGAAAATTGAAATACCACTAGGTCGGATCCTTGCCATAAGTTCGTCAGAGCTTGGCCCGCTTTAGTAGCGGTCTCATCCGGAGTCTGACCAACCTTCGCCCAGACGTTGCCGGCGACGCTTGAGAATTCAAAAGCCGCAATGTTTCCCAAGTTATGCCCCAAAGTATGAAGTCAAAACCCTGCCGGATATTGTTAAGACTCTGTCAGACGCCAACCATTTTAACTGGTTCATATTTTAAAATTTTTGCAACCGAGATCGCGCTGGCAACCTACAGACTCTGATAGATTTTCTCATTCCATTTGGTTGAAGTCATTTTATTTCAGAGGCTCTCTAACGTTTGATTTCTAGCAGGACTTCTTCACTTTACTGTGATTAGTTCAATAAAATGGAAAAAGAAATTCGAAAAAGAAAACCCACCTAATTTCGAAAGTGAAAGCTACCGTAAGACCCCTTCAAAAAGAGTCCATGATCGTAAAAGACTCATTCGGCACGACTACTAAACTAAACTAAACAGAGAAATTTAGTTGACTCTGCCAATACCATAAAACTCCTCCTCTTCTCGTACCCACCCACATTTTATGACTGCTCGGCACATCTAAAACACACCCATCCAAAGCCAATTTTCATCGACCAAAAGTTTTTTGTTTTGTTTCCACCAGTGGTCTCTATTTTTTTTCCAACTCAATCCATCCCACTCATCTTCATCATCCCATCACCAACTTTGTGTATGTGTATGTATGAATGTGTGTGCTCAGGGGCCATCATCATCATCACCATCATCTTCATCGCTTCATGAAACGTAATTTGGGGAGGAGCAGAAAAAAGGAAAGCAGAAGGAGAGAGTGGAGGAGCATCTACTATTTTGGCCCTGTCTCTTCTTCTTCTTCGTCTTCTTCTTCTCCACTACGAGGTTCATCATCATCATCATCATCATCTGCTGTCCCTGTGCTTCTGCTTCTTCTTCTCCTTCTCCAAATAACCCATTTTCCACCTATCCGAGCATTCTTCTTCTGCTCCTTCTTTTTCTTCTTATTCGCCTATCTCCATTTCTTCTCCATACAAACTTACTCCGTCTATTCCATTTCCATTTCGTTCTTTTTCTTTTCTCAAGGAGGCGACAACGGCATACTCGATCACATTCATCACCTTCTTCTTCTTTTCCAATTCTTTGTTATCCGGAATATTTCAAAAAGTCAAAAAACTCCTAAGGATGATCTGTGATAAATCTGTGATAATACTCTAGACTGTTCGACCAACTTTGATCTAGACCTGATTTTTGAAAAAGTTGTAGTTTTATCCTACTCCTTCAAATATCCGTCATTTTCAAGATCCTCTAATCAACCTGCACAAAAATTTTTAACTCCAGACAGCTTCCACTCTCACTAATCAAATCTGCATTTTTGCAAAACCATTGCATGGATAGAATTTAAATTTTTCTCGGAATCCAAAAAATTTGGATTGATACTCTGATCTTTTCTAAATCTTCTCCTATTTTTGAAAAACACTTTTTCCTGTTTCCAGAAAATTTATTAAAAGTTTTATTTTTATTTAGACCCCCATTTATTTGTTAGTTCTAGATCATTCAGAAAAATCTCGGAGTAAACATCTCCGAAAAAAGCCGCAGCGATAGTTTATGACCATCTATTTCTATGGCATCAAAATGTGAATATTTCCATTCGGATGATGCTCATTTTGTTCTTTTTTATGCGGAGTGTTTTGAATATTTTGTTGCATTGTGAAAACATTTTTTAATGTGTTCGTGACGATTTTTATTGAGTCGTGCCATGTTTTTTTGGTGCCATAAACTGTCGAAATTGCAAATTCCGTTTTCGAAAAATTCACAGATAGGCGGTTCAATCTTTTTCATAAATTCCTTCCAAGAATCGAAAATCAGTTTAATGGGAACGTACCGCCCAATTCATAGTATTGCGTATCACGGCGGGCGGTCGATTTCAAACGCTCAAAGACAATTGAATTGGAAATTGCCACAAAAAAGGGACCTCTCTCTCCACTTCTTGAGTCACTTTGTGTATGTAAATTGAGAGGACTTTGAATTGAATTTCGAGCAACGGAAGAAATAGGGAAAGAAATAGATCACAGACTTTTTCTCGTGTTCCCTCTGGAGTTTTTATTTTGGAAGCGGATATTGATAGGAGGAACGGTAGTCAGATTTTCTGGAAATCTCAACAAGCTGGACTTAGCGGATGCTTATCTGTCAGAAAAGCATGTTTTTGGGGTTTGTTTGTGGATGGTGAATCCAAAATCTTTAAGGATTACTTTATTGAAAATCGAAAAGAAATCAGCAATCAGAAAAAGCCAAAACTCATATCAGTCGATTATCTGTGTTTTCTCTTTTTTCATCAATATCGCGAAACAGTATTTTCAAAAGTAGGTAACTCCAATGAATATTTGCAATACGAAACCTGCAGAAACCTAATTCTACCACGATCGTACCCTTTCATGTGAGGCTTAACTTTCTCTGTGGTTGAAAAAACATCAAACAGGGTGGCGCATAATAACCTGGACTCAAGTTTGTACTAGCATAAAATTTGAATAAAGCGTTGTACTGGGCTCAAAGTCAGAGCATAAAAATTTAAATTATTCATCAGTTAACTGGCCAAGTTTCAAATCATTTGATCAACTTTGAGCTGAGTTATCGCTTGTTAAAGTTGCTTCATCCCATGAAAATCATAAGGAAACACTGCGGCTTTCATTTTTGGACAATCATAACAACACCTAGGCTTGGGGAATAGCTTTGAAAATTCGAGTAGCTTTGAATCAAACGTAAAATTATACTTCTAACAATTCTCATGCTTCCAAGATACTTTTGTCTGAAGATATGCCCGTTTTATCAGTCCGGAGAAATAAGCGCCATCCTGTAATCACAAAAACCTTCTCGAACTTTCTACCTTTATTAATTAAGTTACTGCTGTGTAACACTACCCACTCATTTTTCAAGAATCTTTGTTTCAAATCTCTTTTCTAGGATTCCCCCAATTGATTCCTAACTAATTAAACTCTGGCCTGTCCTCACACCCCGGTATCTGTATCTATCTTGATTGTCCGTAAAGAAAACAAAACAAATGTTCGAATCTCACGCACCACAGATTCCTTCTCCTTCTCCTTGTTCCCTCTTCTACTTCTTCTTCCTCCCCATCATCATCTTCGACTCCTCCCTCACTCCTTTCGAGAAGAGATTCAAGAGAGGATTCAGACATCACGGCACCCACTTTCTTTTCTCATTTTTCTAGGATCAAAAAGAATTTCGAAGAGATAGAGAGTATGGATGTGATTGAGGAACACACGTGTATCGATGTCAATGCCATCCTTAAGCAGTTTCATGATTGGACGGTACTTCTCGAAGTTCGGGTACGTTTTTTTTTCATCTCGTCAACTTTATAGATTTTCCAACTTTATAGATTCCTTCTTTGTAAATTAACTCAGACTTTTAAGTTATTAAATGTCAAACTACCGTAATTACCGTAATAGGCGCCCACATTTTCCAAGCTCTTTTGCAAAGTTTTCCAAGCTGTGTCATTTTGATTTTCAACCTCTTTTTTCGAGGAACTCTGAAATTTAAATGAAAAAAAAACGAATGCATATTTTTAAGCTTGTTGATCAAAAACTTCAATTGAATTGACAAACTTTCCATAAAAGGAGAAACAAAAATAGTTTTTGGTTGCTCTTTTCACAAGGTTTCAAAAAAAAAAGAAGTTGATTCATGAACTGATAAAATTGTTAGTTAGGAAACTGAAATTCTGATTTCTTGTCATTTATACTATTTAGATGAAAATCTTCAAATGTTTTTTTTTAATTTTTGGACTTGAAAATGCGGTACTTTTATTAAAAAGTACCGTATTTTCTACAATAGAAGTCCATCCAAGCCGTCAAATTTGAAATTAATTATCTTGGTTCTCTTGAAAGATATCAAAAGGCTGTCAACTGACAAATTATTTGTCATAATATCACTAGCATTTTATTAGTTAACAGTTTTAATATCTTCCCAGGAATCAAGATAATTGAGCTCAAAGGTGACGGTTTAGGCGAGCTTCTATTAGAGGTAATACGTTATTTGATTTTGGCTTCATTCAAGTTCGAATAGTTTTCAATATTTATGTTTTTCTCTATGAGGCATTTTACCAGAAAAACGGCTCAAATGATAGAAACTCGAACTTATGCAAAAAAAATTGCTTCTTATTTCAAATTTGACTCCAAAAATTGGTCCAGGCAATAAATAGAAATTGAGATCTATTTGGTTTTAATCTTAAATTTCAGCTCGCTTACTCTTCTCTATACACCTTCATCTTTGTTACCGGAGTAATTGGAAATGGTCTTCTGATATCATCGATTCTGCTCAGAAAAAAGTTATCAGTTGCCAACATATTTCTTATCAATTTGGCAGTATCTGATTTGGTAAACTTTTTCTATATTTCATATCTTTTATCTGAATTTTCAGCTCCTATGCATCACCGCCGTACCGATCACTCCAGTGTTGGCGTTTATGAAACGATGGATGTTCGGAATATTCATGTGCAAATTGGTTCCCGCTTGTCAAGCATTTTCGGGTAAGAGAAATTTCGAATAGAGGGACAGAGGGAAGTTGTATTGGGGGATCTAGTCAATTGGAACAATTCAATTGTCTCATTTCATATCGGAAGGATCCATTCTTTTTGGACGAGTCCGAAAAAACACTTTTCGCAAGAAAAGGGAGAACTTTTTGAAGAAACTAGACACTGACACTTAATTTCCGTTTTATCTTCCAGTGCTCATTTCATCCTGGTCTTTGTGCTACATTGCAATTGACCGATATAGAAGTATAGTGACGCCATTGAGGGAACCATGGTCCGATAGGCATGCGAGGGTGAGTTGACAATCATGACAGTGATAATGATTTATCGTAATCTTCAGTGGCTTCTGATATTCACTTGGGTCGTAGCATTCCTGGCCAGTTATCCACTTTACTACTCACAAAATTTGAAAACTATGGTTATCGAAAATGTTACTCTTTGTGGAGATGTAAGCTTTTGTTCAAGATCCTATTCAAAAATCCCTATTCTCTCAGTTCTGTGGTGAATTCAACTGGCAATCCGACGAGCTATCGAAACTAATCTATACAACAAGTTTACTCATTATTCAGCTGATAATTCCAGCCATTATCATGTCATTTTGCTATTGGAAAATCTTACAAAAGGTGATTTTCCGCAAACTAGAAACTTCGTATATATATTTCGAAATCGTTTTAGGTGCGTACGGACTGGCTGGTCGACGAAGGATCCATGCTTACTGCGGCGCAACAGGTGAGACGCAGGCGCTGGTGGACATCGGCCGGGCCGTTTTATGGCCGTTTTTCAAACTGTCCACATGTGGGGGTATAGCTCAGTGGCAGAGCATTCGACTGCAGATCGAGAGGTCCCCGGTTCAACTCCGGGTGCCCCCTAGTTCTTTTTGACATTTTTTTCAACAGTTGTTTTGAATTTTTAAAACACTTTTCTAAACACTTTTGTCCGCTGGGCTGTCGGCTTGTAACTTATGTTGAGAAGTTCAAAGCAGTTTTGTATTCGGTCGGATCTGGTCGTTCTGGTCGAAATTTGCCCGAAAACGACTGCAAGGTTGGTCGGCTCCGCGACGTTTTGAAAGACGACGTTTCGAAAGTGTGACGTTTCGCAAGTGTGACGTTTCGCAAGTGTGATGTTTCGCAAGTGTGACGTTTCGCAAGTGTGACGTTTCGTAAGTGTGACGTTTCGAAAGTAACAGCTTTGCACTTTTATGCATGAAAGAAAAAGCAAAAACTTGTTGAGTATTTAAATGGTTTTTCGAACAGAGCTTTGTATATTTGAAGCTTTCAAAGCATTAATTGCCGTACTTGCGAAACGTCACACTTGCGAAACATCACACTTGCGAAACGTCACACTTTCGAAACGTCGTCTTTCGAAACGTCGCGGAACCGGTTGGTCATGGTCAGAGTTTGGTCGACAGTTAAAAGTTGACCAACATCCGAGGCAGATAATTCGGAGGGTACAACAATTCGGGGGTACAAAGGGGTACAAAGCAATTTAGGGGTACAAAATCATCAATTCGGGGGTACAAAATACCGGGAAAAAGGCTCAC